TACTACCACCATACAGATATCGCTAAAAATCACAACTGTGTTAACATACAATGTACATTCATCAAAACAAATTATATGTAGAGAGAATAAGTGTATTGAAAAAAGGCTGAAAGCAGTAATTATTGTGTTTTCATACTAAACATGCAAATCATGTACCTTGGTCTTGTGAGTTGCCCAACACACAAAGATCATTCCACGTTCTGGGTCATCCAGATCATACTGAAAACAAACAGAAAAACAAACCCTAAATGAAAAGTAAAATTCAAATCATCACAACTACCTTAATAGAGATACACAGTGTAAGCTATTTATTGTTACATGTAGGTCACAGAAACAACATGATTTATATTCACAAACCTTTCTTCGTGGTATGGGCATGCGAATATCTGGCTGATCCCCAAAATTTTTGTATGTGATATAATTTTCAGAGCAAACCAACACTCCACTTGGCCCATCATTTCCACCAGGTACTGCAATGAGAAGGTTGCCATGTTCTTCTAAAGGTTCACTATATTTGCGCACCACATGGTTCAAACCCAGATCTAGTTCATAAAATGTCAGTGTTTGTTGAGTGGTGTGTACAGCTTCCCCAGTGGGGTCAGTATCTGCATCCTGAATAGATGAATGAATATCATTAAATGCTATGAACTACAATGATAGTGGTAACAATGGCAATAAAAATAGTGATAGATATACAATAGGGAAGGAAGAAACAATAACAGTAACAATAACAACACTACAGAGGGTAACAAGGAATAAGTACAAACATTTTTCTTTATTTCCATCAATACACCAACACTTGTTTGGTGATTACTATAAACAAGAAAAATCTGATGGTGCAATGCTCATACGCTGCAAGTCATTTCTTGCTTCAAAAATTCCTTTTTAGCTTTCCTCAAAATAAGAAGAACTCCTGGATGCTGTTGAATAATCTCCCAAATGTTCATGAAAAGAATGTCAAGTATATGATCAAATTCTCTAAATGTGTACTAATTACCCTTTCAGTTAGCTTGATCAAGGAACCAAAATGTCAACACCCATCTAAAAATTACATTCAATTTTCGGCATTAATTTTCAGTGCAGGAAACAAATTTGTACCTCATAATCCATCTCTAAACAAGCAAACATTGGATTCTCAAACCCAACATCAACTCCCACAGTATGATAGACCAGTGTGTGAGATTTGTGAGCCTCAAGAGGAGATGAAATAGTCAGGCGAGCTGCAGCATCTCTGTTCAGGATATAAACTAACTTCTGTTTTTCCACAGCACCTGGAAGAGGCAAGAGATTTTTTACATCATTGCCATTATTAAAATGACCATAAAACTCTGAAGCAATACACATCTGTAGTTAACATTAATTCTGGTATGTTTATTGCATTATGACCAATCACAAGGAAGATTAGAACATATATGGAAACCACAGCACCACAAACCTATTACCATTCACCCTTTAACACATTCAATCTGATTGTTATTTCTCCCTTTCAGTTTTAAACTAGTTCTGAGAATTTGGTGTTAGATCAAGATAACAACATTTACCTGATAAGTTTGAGTATTCTCATTACCAATTTGCTGAGTAATATATGGATATTATAAGGAGAAGTTATATGTCAATCACTTCTGGGGGTTCAAGGGTTAATGCTTAAAGGTATGTCTGTTTGCCTTCTGATGTTTATGCTTTTCTGAGGTTGATTATAAGTCAACAATGTACGCGATCATTATCATTAAATTGCCATCATCCTGTCACTGTAATCTATATCTGAACTCATTAGCTCCAAGATCAAATATGTAATTCTCCTTACTATCAACCATACAATTTTTATAATGTTGGTTCAAAGAATTTAGTATTGGATTGACTTATTATCCCCAAATTGATATTTTTCTTTATTCTCGTCAGTTATCTGGTTGATATTCTATTGATATTGTAACAAGAAATTCTGTCTTGGTCACTCATGGGGGTTAAGGGGTTAATGCATTTGTATACATGTGACATGAATCCTCACTGAGAGCAATAAACAATCCATGAAACCATACATTCACCTTTCTGTTAACTGAGAAAAAAATCATCAGTTTTTTCATGGTGATCATAAAACGTAATGTAAAAAGCTACTTTTATATACATGTACATGCTAGTGAAATACAATGATTGAGTGTTTCTACTTGTCTTTGTTGGTCTTTCTGGTATTTTTTATGCGTTTGTGTACTTCTTTACTGAAAATTGAATCGAACATACCAATCAAAATAGCACGACCTTTGGGGTCCACAGCTAAGTACTGGCCTGGAACAATACGGCGACAACCACTTTTACCAAATGTTTCCTGATGAACCTGAAACAAAGAAAATGGCAGAAAAACGTACTGTGTGAACTGAGGAAATACACAAATTTATCAGGAGATACACTTTTGGATGAGTATACTGTTATCTTGCTTTTAATTAGTTACCTTTTCAAAAGTATTCTTTGAAGGTATGTATTCAAGGATAACTATCCTTCCAGAATCACTTCCAACCACCACATAATCTGAAACCAATAATATATAATTAAAAGAAGTAGGTTTCATTAATTGTGATCAGCCAGTTCACTGGCAGAGCAAATCACCAGAAATTATATACAGATACAGTTACTACAATTAGTTTAATTCACATAAAAAATTAATCTTCCTCTGTTATAGGTCAATCATAAATTTCCAAACTAACTAATACAGCTGTAAATCCAAAACAAACTATGGAAATAATGAACCAACCTACAATGAGTGGCACAAATTGTTGGCACACCTCCCCAAACTAAATGGTTGACTACCCTCCACTCAACATAATAAACAAATATATTGTAATTAATTATCATAAGTCTTCCCATTCCCTCCAAAAAATTGTTCCCTGAAATCAGTGGGCATTTTATAACAACAGGCAACACTGAAATGGGAGAGAGGGGGAGATACATGAAAGTTAGAGAATATAATTCAAAAAGTAGTGGAGCATGCCAAGACTTTTGCCAATCATAGTAAGAAAAAAAATCAACCTGATAACTGCAACATGAACTTGAACAAATACTCACCCTTTGAACCTCCAGTGAGTCTAAAAGCAATAAGATCTCTAATAACACCAAACATTTCCATAGCTAACAGAGGAAACACCTTGCCAGTGTTGGGGTCAGGACGAAGAAGCTCGATAATCTTTCCTCTGGAGATAACAATCTCCTGCTGCTTAGAGCCCGAGAAATTACCATGAATTGCATGATTAATGGTGGATGCTTTCTGAAGAGTCAGTGCATACAGATGCATGGTGACCTGAAAGTATCAGAGGGAACACTGTGAGTAAATGGTCATTAATCAATTAACCCCTTTACTCCAAAGGGTGACTAATAAATAATTTCTCTTTATGATAATAAATCACACATTAATTAATTTAATTAAGGTGATGTGAATAAAAGAAATGATCACCAACTACAAAAAAGCTCTTGATTAATAAACAAATTCTCCTTGTTAGCATCTTAGGAAATGTAGAGAGAACAGTATGGAGAATATGTATACTGATGTTAGGGTGTAAAATAAATTGTGACCATCAAGCAAAACAGATGTGGATTTATCTTTCATCATGGTCAAAAAATATAACTACTGTACCTGTTTTATAACGGAGTTCACAGAGCATAGCCCCATAATTATACAAAATGGTAGTAGTAACCCATCAAGCAAAAAAATTTGGACTTATGACCGTACAACCATACAACCATAGAACCGAATGTACAAGGTGCTACTTTTAACATGCGTGGTCAAATGGTTGCATTACATTTATAGATAAGGAAGATAATCTGAAGCACAGCCACGACAACAAGTTTTCAATATCAGCTAACCCTGGATTAGGATTAACTGACTGCATGTAACTCCCAGAGGTGATTAGCAAGCAACTTCTCCCTATAATAACCATACAACAAGTTTTCAATATCAGCTAACCCTGGATTAGGATTAACTGACTGCATGTAACTCCCAGAGGTGATTAGCAAGCAACTTCTCCCTATAATAACCATATATTAACCAGCAAACAAGTTATGAGAATACTCAAACTTATCATCTTCATCTAACAGTAAGTGCTTGTGACTAATTAACAAGGAAATGAGTAGAAGCTTGTGGGGAGAATTAACAATCAGATTTTGGGAGTTTAAGGGAGATTTCAGTTTTAAACTGGCTGGCCAAGGACTGTAAATCAGTGACCTGATTTTAAAGATCATGCAGCTTCACTGCAAATAACAGAGTGCCTTGAACCCTGACACACTCAGTGATGAAAAATAAGCAGTTACAATCAATCAGCTTGGTTCCATAATCAGATCATACGGCCAATGATAAACAATATATAAAACTTTCCCCTCCATAAAAAGCTTTCGGAAACTATGCAGAATTTAATTATGAGTAGTTGAAATCAATTTCGATACTATCGATCATGTGCACAGTTTTTTATTTGTCTGAGCAGTAATCTTCCAAGCATATAACACTATGGTTAATTCAACAGTATATACATATATCAAAAGTGTAAACATTTCGTTACTCTCGCTAATTTTAACGTCGCTTGTGTTAAAGGTGGAGCGATCTTTCCATCTACATATCTGTCTATCCTTTCGTTAGAAATATCAATTGAGTGGAGCGATCTAGCGATACCGTGGAACGATCTAACATCGAACGATGTAACTATAGAACGAACTGACAACAGACCTCTATCAACATTGATACAACGTGAAAAAGACTCAACACAAGTTATCGCTTATTTTTGCCTGATTGTACGATTCACTTACTTTGAAGGTGCTGGGGCTTCAACCCGTCCAAACCACAGCTTCTAGCGCCCTTGGGTTGTACAAATTATCGCAGATAGACAGTGAATAATTTGCTAGATGCTAGCAATGAAAGCCGCCATCAACGTCAAACCCACGTGCGGTCATGCGCATGGATGTTGCTCAGCGGGAGAATTAGAACCCAGTGCTTCGCAGGAAATTCAATTAGTTCTAGTGGTCGAAGATGGCTACCTTCGTAAGTAGAGCCTGTGGGATTGTTCCTCAATTTTTTAGTGTATCCACCAAGAGGGTAGTGATCTGCAGCTCTAGGGTGGAAAGTAAACGGCTTCTACACGTCGGAAGGTGTTTATTAGCGGGTAAGGTCTGAGATCTAGACGTATCTTTGTAGCTACCATATAAACGTAGTGCGCAGTATTGCGCAAAACATTAGCGTAAAGTTAATGTAACAAAGGTAATGGAACTTTAGATTTTCATCGAAAGGGTGGCTGGCGCCCTCATATTTTTAAATTTTGCTTTCAGGAAGCGCAATTAAACTGTTAGGATTTACATAGGCAATCAGAAAGCTGCAAGGCATAGTGATGTGAAAAGCACACCGACCACGCGGGCTACAATACACGTGAAGGAGTTTTCCGGTGAACTCGAGCCCCTGTTAGTACATTATGCATGCCGCTTACCCTGTTTTCTCAGATCTGTTACAAGGTTTACCCTCTGTTCTTTGTATACTATGTCTGTTTTCGAACGTTATTCTATTTATCTTTTTTTTGTTTGCACCGTTACAGCTGACATCTTGCATTTTATTAGGTAGAGCTGCATGTAGGGTTGAAAGTCTGGTTCCATAGATGAAAGGGGTACCAAATTCAAAATAGGCGATGAAGGAAAATCGTTATTTTGATATTTTTCAAAGTACCTCGCATTTACTTTGTTTTGCCTGTGTGCATGATCTAAAGTATGATAATACAATTCAACCAACTGAAAAAGAAATCCAACCTCAACATGTGCTTATTCAATTATTTACAAGATACTAGTATTGAATAATGATGATAATAAGACCAAATTGAGGCCTATTTTGTCTGTGTTCATATTAGTGTGATAAATCCTCAAATAAGCTCCTTGCCTCAACCAAGCCCCCCTTCTCCCTTCACCCAAAATTGATAATAAACACCCCCTTCTTGAATAGGAGTCGCTTTCTTTTTTCTTGGTTTTGGTGGCCATTTACTGAGTCAGCAAAGAATGTATGATGTTGAGTGTTTTTAATGATTCTTTTTGGCGCTATTGCATCTTGGGAACACCCTAAGTTTAGAAGTAGATGCAAGAACCTTTGGTGTTGCTAATTTTCAGGCATAGCTTGTCATATTGATATTATACACAGTTTACGATTTGGATGTCGTGCAGAACTTGTTTTGCAAATGATGAACAAACATTTATCTAGCCACAATGTGCAAAAAAATTGACAGCTACTCCATCCTCCTCTCCTTTCTTCAATCTTGCCTGAAGTTTGACTAAAACTCCCTTGGATGTTAATTCAAAGATTCACACCAGACATTAAAAAACACATTGACAGGAGATCTTACCAGCCTCTTTTTAACCCTTTTACTCTGAAGTTTGATAATTTTATCTCTTATCTAGCTGCTTAGCTACACATTTTACTGTTTGGATGGTCTGAAGCAGAAAAATCATTAACAAAGGAATGTAAAGCACTCCCTCAAAATAACTTGTTATGTTTTTATGATGTTGTTGTTTTGAGCTGTTCTATTCTTTATTTTGAGCTTTTCTTCTTGAATTTTAAGAACGAAAATACACAAAGAAACATGAATGGATCAGTGTAGACAATGGAATTGGATCAATAGGAGTAACAGACTATGCCCAGGTAAATAAGTTGCAACCATTCTTTTGTCTTTAAGTTATTATCATACATTTAAGGTGTAAATGATATACTTGCGATGCTCATTTTATCTTTCACTACTTTGAAACACATGTGGAACTGGTCAATCAATTACAAACAAAATGACATTTCTTCTTACATGTATGTTTGTGCTGCAATGTTTATTTACTCTCTATTTTTTTTCTTCTAGAAAGAATTAGGAGAAGTTGTTTATGCTCAGCTTCCTGAGGTGGAAGATACATTTAATATAGGAGGTGAGGAGCCCTTCCATTTTATGCAACTAACAATAGACATAACATTTAGTTAAAGAGGTTTCATGTGGTGACAACTTTTTTTCTGGGAACAAAAATTACAAGTTTATAATATAAAATGGATTTTTCACATAAATAGAATATCTCAAGATGAAACTCAGAAAAGCATAAACATGAGAATTTAATTTCTGCAATGTTTTGTGTAGAGAAACAAGCCAATCAGGCCTGAACATAAAAGTAATTAATCATAGTTTTGAGTTGTTTGTGTACATCCTGATTTCCATTTTGATTGTTCATATAATAATAACATTTCTTAAAATATTTCATGTACCAGAACTGGTCAATAACTGATACTATATGTGTTTAAATTTGCTTATAGATGAAATTGGTGCATTAGAAAGTGTCAAAGCTGCTGCAGATATTTACTCACCAGCAAAAGGTGAAGTTAGTGAGATAAATGGTGAACTGGAGAGTAACCCTGGTTTGGTGAATGAATCTCCCTATGATAAAGGTACATGCAGTGACTAACAATATAATGAAGCATAAAATTACATTTGCTTAGTTTATTTGTATCATTTTCTGTTTAATTACATGTAAGTTTTAATCAAACTTGTGCCTTATTCACACAACAGCTAAGCATGTGTAGTGAAACCATGTCTAACTGAATGCAAATGGACCACAAAACTTCAAAAACTGAAGTTTACATGGGTGATCAAGTAGTCACTAACTTGTATTTTCTTGTGCTATATTTGAAGTGGAAAATCATCAGTTTAAGCAACTTCTTTGGGAAAAACACCTTTAAACCATGTTTAAGAAAACAGCTTAAAACCATGTTTAGCATTATTTAGAATGGGGTTTTCAAATTTTGTAACACTAGTTAAGGCTGGTGAGAGTTTAATTTATTTGAGAACCATACTTTTGTTGCCAGAGCTATGTAGAGCTTCATGATTGCTTCCACAGAAGAATGGAACAAGGTGTCAACCTTTACAATACATGTGCTACTTCTAACCTTTGTGTTGCTTTTAGGCTGGCTGGTCAAAATGAAAGTTGAAGAGTTGGCAGATGACCTTCTGTCAGAAGAAGAATATAATGACCTGGTCAAGAGTATTGATCATTGATTGTAAACAGAGAACAATAATTATTTTTATAATAATTATTTAAAATATCTTTGTGAACTAGTTGTTTTGACCGAACAGTGCTCAAAACTGACACTATTATAAAACATATCCAATTTTTAACATAAACTATTTATAGAAGCAAAGCCATTTCAAACAACTTGGTTTAAGTTTAGTTTGTAATGCTTTGAATTCAGGGGATTGACATCAAGGTGTGGCTCAACCCTTACACTACCAGCAACAACCATTTTAAGTCAATTTTTAACAATTTATTTCAATTATTAAAAGGGGAACATTATCCTGTTAGATTAGAAGAATTTGCTGGTAGATCTTTCATGCAGAAGAGTTACATGCCTGTTGGTCAATCAAATAGCAATCATTTTGAGATATGAACCATTAACTCCCATCAGTGATTAACATGTAACTTCTCCCTATGATATACGTACATTAACCAGTAAACAGGTGATGGGACTACCTAAACTTATCAGGTAGAAGTTTTAATTTGATTTACAAGGAAATGTGCAGCAACTAGATGGAAGAATTAACATACAGATTTTGGGATTTAAAGGATTAATAGGGTACAAAACTGCTTGGTATATGCTAGTTTTTCTCTATCTTATGATGAATCTGTGGTCCATTTATTTTGGATTATTTTTTGGAGAATTTTGTCTTAACCCTTTTATTCTCAGCTAACCCTTTTATTCTCAGCAAGGACCACAGAGAAATTTCTCCCTACAATTTCAGTAAGCTTTTAGCGGAAAGGTGATGAGAAAATAGAAAGATATCAACCAAGGGATATTGTTTGATGTAAAGCATATCCTCAGACTTCAATTACAAGAAATCTTAAGGAGACAGTACAGAAAATTGATAGCGAAATTGTGGGAGATTAAGGGTTGACAAAGCACTGAACAGAAAATGTCATTTGATGTGCTTTATTTATGTTATTATGGCTATAACTTAAGTATTATTGTTTCTGTTATTTTGAAAATGGCTTCAAGCTTAACCCTTTACTCTCTAACATCAGCATGCATATTCTCCACACTGATCATTTGATTCAAGGATGATACTGTGAGGAGAAATTAGAAGCCAGTCACAAGTAGGGGTTAAAGAGTCAAGTCAAAATTTTTTTTTTTTATTGATACATTGGTGCTTTTTAATTTTTTTTTTAAAGAGTAACTTAAGTTAGAACATTCAGTAATTATTAATGCATGTTCAAGTGAATTGCTTCTATTTTTCAATAGAAGACGAAATGATATGTGAATAAATACTTTTCTCAGAATAAAGAAATAAAATAATTTTACAGACCATTGCAACTGCAGTTTTGCTACAGTTTCTTAAGCATTCAATTTTAACATGTTCTGGTTGGTCAAAAGATCATTAGGAGCCCTCTCTCTCTCTCTCTCTCTTTCTTTTGGTATCAAGTTTTGGAAGTTGATATGAGGCAGCACAAGAATATGTTAGTGCTGTGTGGACTCTGGCTCTCTTCCCTGACGTGACAGGGTAGTGTTTTGTTTTTTGAAGCATGTTTTGGAGTAGAAGCTTATCTTGGTCTAATCAGGTAACCAATGAATTTCCAGAACACTTCAACCCCCAGTAGTGGTTAACATTTAACCTCTTCCAAAAATATCCATATATTATCCAGCAAACAGGTAATGAGAATACTCAAACTTATCACGCAGGAATTGTTATGTTGATCTTTCCCTAAATTTGTTACAAGGAAATGTGTTGCAGCTAGAGGGGAAAATTAACAATCAGATCCAGGGAAGTTGTAAGTTTAGTATTGTTGTGTGTCAATGGTAAAAGCTCACTCATCATTGCATGAGTTGGACAAGGTAAAATTCTAGTGCTGACAGGAAGTTTGTTTTCCTCATGTTCTGCAAAGACAATGCTTTAGATACACTTTTCATAGGAGGTAGCTGAATCTACCCTGTGATGGAACTGAAGATGTCATCTTTCATTTACAGTCCTTGGCGTGTGCCTTGCTTTGTCCCAGCTATCCTTGTGCAAAGTTTAGTTGGTGTCATCATTGGTCAGATCATTCTGCTCTATCCCAACTCTGGTTTAAATGCCATGAGTGGAGGGTGTGGATCATTCAGGAAACTGTACGTTTCCAGCCTTCATTATTCACACAACTGTTCCATAGACAAGCCCTCCTTGTAAATGATGGAGATAAACTATACAATAAAACATGAATACTCTTTCACAGCTGCACTTGCCTTCCTTCAGAAATGAAAAAAAGCCTAGAAGTTGGATACGATATTTTTTAATATTTTAAACTTTTACACATTGTGATCTGTGGCAAAAATGTCTCCAATTTAAGTTTTTTCTTTATATTTTTCACCGTATAAAGATTCTCAAACCTAAAATCCTCTAAAAGGCATGCAGGCAGAGGTCTGAGAGAACTTTATGCACGCCTAGCGGACCGTAATTAGTAGACCTGAGGACTGGTATCCAATAAGTCGTTAGGGAGGGGGAGGAGGGGTGGTTACAGAGATTGGATCTTTGTTTGCAAGAGTTCTCTTCACCTTTTGCTGCAGAAATCGGCGGCGAGGACGTCCTCAGATTACCGAAAAGATGAGCGCTAACGTCGAAGAAGAAGTTCAGCGTCCTCTTGAGGAGTTAGAAGAGCAATCCGAGCGAGCAGTTGGAGTTACCTTGGAAGATACGACCACGAGCGCAGGTAAAAGTGCTGTCGATGGTGAAGATAAAGACACAGACGAACCACCAAAGAAAAAGTCGAAGAAAAGCCCTGCAAAGAAAGCGTTGATTGCAGAACCTACGAGTACAAGCAACGATAAATATCCCTTTGCCCGTTCGCGTGGAATAAGAATATTCAGCGATCGAGAGATTGAATCACAGGATGCAGAGATGACCAAAGAGTACTGGCGTTTTTGGAATGACACAGCTGAAGAATTGTGTAGCGACAGAGCTTACAACGACTGGGGCAAGCGCGATCTTAAGCTTTATATCGATGCTGCCTGGATTATTCATAAGACATACTTGCAAGAATTACGAGAACGAGAGCTGGCGGGAATGTTGAAAGAGCTGCAGGAGAAACACGGATATGTGGAGTTGCCGCCGAAACTGAAAACCCAGGATCAAGCTGTTACTAGCGCACTCTCAAAGGTACGCAGCAAATTACTTATTGTGTTTTGTTTGTGTGCGTTTTAATCTTTCCCCTTCCAAAATCTAAGTTTTAATTTTCTTTAGTGACTTTTAAATGTTTCTTGTCATATTATCTTTGAAAATTTGGTGTTAAATTGAATGGTGTCACCCTGTTGATATTTTGCTTTATTCTCTTCACCTGTTTGCTTTACAATATAACGATATAGTTGTGAGAAATTACATATTGATTACTCTTGGGAGTGAAAGGAAAGTAATTCCTTTAAACCCAATCACAAAAGTTAGTAAAAATTAAATTTCCGGTATGCCCCATGCTCTGTTTGAAAACCAGGGCAAGTGTGAAGCTTTTGATATGAAGATTTTTTATTCTCATACAAGTATTAGGTATGTTGCTTTTGATATGAAGAAGATTTTTTACTCTCGTGCACTTTATTAAGCAATCACCCTCTTTTAAGTGGTCAGTTGACAAAGTGTCAAAATGTTTTTCCCTTTAAGTACTCTAATTTTCACCTTTCAGTCAGTTGCCTTTATTAGGGGGTGGTGGTCACCATTGCTTGAATCCCAATGGTGTGTTTGTATTGCCTTCCACCTGTATTGTACAGTCATTTAAAGTGGAACTACTCAAATAGAATTAAGATTAAACTCTCAAGTAAAATTTATTCCATTTTATCTCCCAGAATCAATGATAGTGCTTTGAGTGCAAATTTCCTCAGCTCATCACTGGTTATCTTTCCACTTTGAACTGTTAGGACAAGCTTTATTAAGTGGTCAGCTTGTATTTTGTGGTCTGCCTGTACTAAACAGTCACCCTGCCATTCCCCGTGGGTGACTGCTAAATACAGGTTTGACTGAAAAGTTCATTTTCACAACAAAGATTTTGCACTTGGCCTGGTTTTCAAACTATTACTTTTTGGAACTTGGAAATGGTCTATGGGAAAGCAGTTTCCACATAACCTCTCTAGCTTCCTGAATAAAAATTCCCCTAATTGTTCTATAGAATATCAATTCTTATTAGACAAACAAACTCACCAATGCTTGGGTTTGATTTTTTTTATCTCTAAATTGTCTTAACTAACTAGGACATGTTTAGCAGATTGAGGTAGGAATTGTAAACTACATGTAGATCTTGTGTTGTTATCCTTGCACAACTGTGAAAGTCTGATGGCCAGAAATGTCGATTTTGAAGTTGCCTTATATTATTTCTTTATTTATTTATTATAATTACACCAACTGGGTGGAAGGCATCTGCATTTCAGACAATCTCTCAGCAATTCATAAAATTTTCCTTAACAAGGACATGCTACAGCTAAGACAAAAACTTTGCCCAGCTGATGAACAGTCTAAGGCACCAACCAATAGTGTACTATACCACTTGCAGATTTGGGAGTAACTCCTGGCCATAATATGGTCCATTAGCTTTATCTAAATCCTACATTCTTTTTAATCATAGGCTTAGGAGCATCATGATACCCAACAATGTTTTATCAATTTTTTGAAAAACATTTAATTTTTTTATTTGATTTTTTTAAAATTTTTTCAAAGGTATCAAACACAGCATGAAAGTCACACAGCAGAAAATTGTTATTTCTTATGTTCCAGTCTTAACATGTATTTGTTGAATTTTAGTTGCAAGATTCCACAGCAAACCTGAATGAGCTGAACCTGGAATTGTCACGCACAAGAGGCAAAGCCATGAATCTCAAACAACGAGCAGTGGATGATTCATTCCCTGCCAAACAGAAAGATGAAGAAACAAGAGTGATGAGTAAACAAATCAGTGAGCTTGAGAAAAATCTCTATGAAGGAATGTCTGAAGTAAAGAATGATCAAGATTCCATGAAGAAAGCTCTTAACAGACAGAAAACATTGCTTTTTAAAGCACGCCAGGATCATCCTGTACTTGGAGACAGTTAAAAAATACATGAGACCATTTACAGACAAAGTGAACAAAAAAAATCTAAGTTTTTATTTGGTAGACAAAAGTATTGCCATGTCACTTATTTGCCAGTAACCATTTTCCATAATCTTGGACCTTAATTTTAGAGCAAGGATTTTTGTCTTGTTTTATGAAGAACCTCTTACATAAGTTATTGATGTACATGTTCACCTCTTGAGGAAGTATAACCGATTGATGGATAAGAGTCATTCCTCATGAATTTCATTTTGGTTTTATCACTAGCATTATGTTTATAGAATATGGACCAAGAAACTGCAGTGAATGTCAAGATCAAATGTTAATTGTGAAACTGGTCCTCTTTGTTGAAAATGTCTAATTGATGTTGAAATGAATTACAGAGCCAAGAAATATGTATAGTGAGAAACTAATTTTTTATCTGACTGTGATCAATTCTAGTGGGTCCCACTTCCATGTTTACTGTTTTTCTCTATCTTTTGATTCTTAGAAACTATGCTGGACCATTGCAAGCCAACCAATTGAACCATTTACAATTAAATACCCTCATGCTTATTCTCCATAATGTTCTCTGGGCATTTCCTGAGGTGCTGACAATGAGAATTTGATTAACAATCAAGAGCTTCTTTATCAGTGAACATTTCCTCTCTTCTCATGAGCTTAATGTTTGAATCAGGGGTGATATTGTAAGGAGAAATTAGATGCTGGTCACTTGAAGAAGACAAAGGGTTGAGGCCCAGATATTAATATACATATATACTTTAGGAGGGTAGTATGCATGAAAATGAAATTTGTATAACTCTTATCCTTTGCAAGGAACTTAAAACAAACAATGTAACAATCATACTTTTGTTGCAAATATTACTTAATGGATCGTTACAACCATAGTTTTCATTTTTTTGTTTTTTTTGATGGTATGATAATAGTTTTTTTTAATTCTTAGTTATCATAGAGCAATTTAATTTACATAGTTTCCATGACACAATATCACCACTGTTCTTAGAAACACCCTTAGTTTTAGCTTGATAAGTGTACAGTACAATATGGTTCCCCTTAGGTTGACAATTGTCACCCCAGAGGCATTCCAAAACTTCCAAACCTTCCAAAACAAACGTGATGAGGCTTGATAACAGCTCAAAGCGCTGGGTTTTGTTCAAGAGATGGGGGGGGGGAATGACTTTTTCTGAAACAAAAAGAAAAAGAAAGAAAAAAGAACGAAAGAAAGAAAAGCTGGAGAAGGGCGTGATTTTAATGCGACTGGCCTAGCCTTGGAGGAACTGGGCTCTGGGAAGTAAAAAACCGTGGGTCATGTGACCAATAACACAAGTTGACCACCGTTTCGCTGCGTTATCTACAGTTGTTATCCAGCGAGTGCATTACAATGACATATACTGGTGTAGTCCTAATACTGCTGGCACTTTGCGGCATCGGTAAGTCTGATATTCTTTGATATCTTTCTATCTGTTTTTAATGCTTTAGATAGCTGACCGTCAGCAGACGATTTCAATGAAAAGCAAACCGCTAGCAATTTGTGCCGATCCGAATGATGCAACAAATCGCCGTCAATTTTTGACAAATAGATTTCATTTTGCCGTGAGCTTGTCCAAATTTTGATCACAATTGGCGTTAAAATGTGGTAGGAATAACAAAGTTGCGCAAAAGCCGCGGAACTCAGTGTAAAGAGATGAAGACTCGACACGGAAAAAGTAAAGACAAAGTCATTATTATATTACGGATAGACAATATTCCATCAAGGATGAAATATTTTTCTCTTCGTAAATGAGTAAACAAAAGATAAAATCGAAAGTGTACTACTACAAACGAAAATGAAGAAGAAGTCCGACAACAACTTTATTTCATTCACTATTTAGTTTGTTATCAATTACATTAAATTGAGATGAGCCCAAGATCTCGTGACGACGATGCACATCTACCAGTAACCCGATACCAAGCTACTAGCTGCTTGCAAGCTTCGGGAAACATTTCGTGTACGATTTGCTATTGCTGGTAAATTTCATTAGATGATCGCCGTCGCAGAGGTCCGAAACTGATCTCCGATTTGTGCATGGTTCAAACTAACCCACGCTTGAAGTATACAAAAATTTGAATCGTTTAAGCCATCTATTGTAGTGTGCGTGATAACCACATGGTCGTTAATTTTCAGGATTTTATAAAATAACAGAGATTACTTTGTGTTACTACATCATACTTAGACAGAGTAGAAATCCTTGCATGCTTAGAGTTCAAAAGCCACTGTCAATTACTTGGGCAACAGACGGCACTCTTTATCTATTTCTACTTTCTTTCAAGAACAACAGAAAGGTTTGTAAGTCATGAGGCACAGGCGAGTGACTTTAGCTTTGGCTTTTGACCAATCACTAGTTATGAAAAAAAAACAGAATGCATTCAAGCATGAAATGCAAAGTGTAACACAATATTCGTACCAACACAAGTTTGATATTAGCTTACGGCGGTAATATGACCATTGCATGTGTTGGACACAAAGCAACTTTTGCCATGGCTGTCACTAGCTGATGCATAAAGCAATTCTATTGTTGTGGTTGGCTATAAAATAATTTATATGTTTACTGGGTAACTGGTGGAAAATAGCAGCATTCTCACTTGTAAAGAATATTTGACTTTCTCTTTGATAGTTTAGAATTTCACAGCAGAGTGTTATGGTATTTCTAAACATTCTCTTAAACTTTTAGCTACATAAAAGAGTATTCTACTTTTGTGTCAATGTGGTGAGAAATTTATCATAACTTGCTTGAAAAAATTGACAATTTATGACAGATAAAAATCCTGTAACCCTCTGAGGGATAAAAATTTAATTTCTATCAATTTCAATACACCTTCAAACTAGAGAAGTAAAGAGAAATTAAAAAACTATCAACTACTGTGAGGTGCTGAGTAAGGAAAATGAGCTTTAAAATTCAGAGAGTGCATGGTTTAAAAATAAAACTACAAAAAAATTCTAAAGCATTCACCATGTCAAAACTGACATTTATTATGTGGTATTTTATGAAAGCATAAAGTTAAATTGAATCAATGTAATTACTGTCATTTCCATCTATTTATCCAGACAGATTACCCGCATCAGTCAATTTTTGCAATAACAAGAAAAAATCTTCAACAGATTACCTGCACTGGCAGATAACCTGTACCCAAAAACAAAAGAAAATCATTGACTCACTTAAAGTTCCTTCATTGTTTTTGTTGACATGATATCCTTTAGCGTGGAATTAATAAATTTTCACCCTTTTTGTCTTCAATGTTTCATCAAGAATGATACCATTTGTAAAAATCTGTTCTCAAAACAAAACTGATATCTCAAGATCTATGAGTCGAAGAAATTGCTTGAAATGGGAAAATACTCTTTAACTCAAGGCAGCACTAGCTAAGAAAATGTCACTGATGCATCAAAAATTCTGTCGTGCATTTATTATGCAGTGCCACAAAATGAACATGTCAGCATCATTTTCAGTGTGGATTGCTATGAAGCGAGCTTTTTCACAATTAAATTCTTTTATTTTGGAGTTCACTACATGTGTATGTGAGAACTGTTTTTTGAACTTAACAAGGAAACAAGCTGTGAAATTGACAAGGTAAGAAAGTAAGAGTGCAAACAAGATAAAAGTTTTGCTATCAAGTTTTGTATGTTTTCGATTTGCATCAGCTTTGATCAAGAGGATATAAGTCTCTAAATGTAATGAGCAGTCTGCATGAATTACAGTCAAGTTGCTGACGGTTGAACTCGCCAACATATAAAATCGAGTAGAGATGAAGGTGATTAGGTCTTCAATCCAGTACAACTTATTAAAAGTTAAACATACAGAAAAGTAAAAGATATTTAGTGGAGAAACAATTTTGTTTTCTTCCAACGAAGTTTTTTAAAAATCTCATGGCAAATAAAGCAAGGTAAACATCGCCAATGAATATAAAAGCTTCAGACGCGAACAAGTTATAGTTCATCTGCACAAAACAAATGAGTTATTGCACAGGTCTTTTGAAAAGTATTTTTAGAGTATCTTACCATCTCTGTTATTTCCTTCATGTAATTTTAAAACTATACCAGAAGCTTTAAGAATTTTCATATTACCCACACTTTCCTAAACATGGTATTTTGCATTCAGTGAGAACATGTTATTTATGACATGAATACAAATGCATTGTTTAACTTACAGCATGTGGTGATACCGGTAGTCCTCCATCAAAACACCCTACTTCTACAGGTACTACTAATGGAACTACACATAGTACTGGACCTTCCACTAATGGTACCTCCAAACCCCAAACCACCCCAACTTTAAAAACACCTAATGTAACTGTTGCACCAAACACCACAGCCACACCAGGAAATTCCACAGCTGCACCAGGAAATTCCACAGCCGCACCAGGAAATTCCACAGCTGCACCAGGAAATTCCACCGCTGCACCAAGAAATTCCACAACAAGACCAACCACAATAACAAACGTTCCTTCAAGCAAACCTGGAAATCACAGTTCAAATCCAAATGTTACTCCAACACCAAAAGGTATTAATAATCGTTTATAGGACTTAGGACCAGTCAATCATTCTTCGAAACCATTAATTACCTTATTGCAATTATGGAGAAGTTTGGTCTAGAAACTCTGTAATTGAAAAGGAAATATAATAAAGTTTGCCTCACTGCAATGTGAAATTTCACTAGTGAATTTGAACCTCTTCCTCTCTTAGAATTTTGTGGTTCAAATTCTCATTCCCCAAACTTTTTGAATTGGTTATTAATACATGAATCCTGTAAATGATTAATCTACTGACATCACTAAGTAATCAATGTGTAAGTTGTCCATTTAATTTAGGGCAGATTTCAATTGAGTGTTGTTAAACCCAAACTAAAGTAATCACAATGGTCAGTCAGATTAAAAGAAAATGTTTAACAGGGAGCCAAATAGATTTTAGAGCAAAAACTTGCAAAATGCCTAAAGTGCTGAAAAACATAAATGACCAAGGTAGAATTGGTTATAGTTTTGAATCTGATTGGTTGAGACCAAAGTGTGTATTTTGGGGACAATTCACTGCAAAGTAAAGCAAAAACAAAACAATCCTAGATTTCTTTCAGCACCCAATAAAAACTTGCTTCAAATACATTTTTTATTATGTTGATGAAGAGGATCATGAAAACTATTGGCCAAGTCCCAGTTGTTTGAAGTTTGGATAATGCTATCCACCAGATAAATCGTTATCCACTGGATAAGTGCAAACAAAACATAATGTGCAGTCCAACAGATAGAGATTTATCCAGTGGATATAGCATCATCCACCTTTCGAACAACTGGAGCCAGATGATTTATTTGGTTAACCAGCAAAGGAATGTGTAGCATTATCAGGGGAGAATTACTCAATGATTCAGATATTGGCAGCTAGAGGGTTTAATAGTGATGATTTTATTTGTGCTCATTTTTTCAGGACATGGTGGCAAGAAATCAGACCGAGGCAAGTGGGTGGCTACAGGATTTGCCATTGTGTTCTTCCTTACAACTGTCATAATGACAGTGCTGTATTGTCGACAGCGCAGAATTTACCGAGAACTTGAGGGTGACAGCTCCTTGTCAAGGTTGATTTGATTTTGACAGACAGAACTTGAATGGCCAAGTGTGACTTGAGGAGACCATTTTACAATATCTGTGAAATTTGCATAAATATGCTGTTAGCAGTTCACTAGGTGTAATGTTTTAACTAGATAGATGTCTTAGAGCCCTAATTTGTTTTCTGAAGCAACTCAGTAGGCAGGAATCTTAAATCCTTGAATTTTATTGGCTGGTCATGATCTCATCGCTAGTCCACCTTTTTTCATTATGCACCAGTCTCAATTTTCTTAGTATTTCCTTCAAGAGACCACCCTTTCATGACATGCTCATTTTGCACAATTTTAAATGCAACTTGATATTGCATGAAGGTTGGTTTGTTTGTGATGTAGCTGAACCAAGTTCACAAATATCATCATGTCATATTTCCTTTTGTATTTGTTTTTTGTTTTTTTCTTGCATTTCATATGTAGGACAATTGTTCTATCTCTTTTGAAAGTGGGGAATTTTAACGTTTTATTCAACTGAGTTGACACTAAACTTTGTAATACAGTCCCTGTAGATAAGAAATAAGCCTTAGTTATTCACCATAGTCACACAAAGTTTGATATTTTAACACGTTTTGTCATCAAGGTCCTCTGTATGAAGAGCATACAATGTAGCTCTGTTCATTGTTTCCATTGTTTGACTTTCTTTTATGTTCATTATCTCTAAGACTAGGGTTAAGAGGTTTGTGCAACTGAAGCTCTTTGTGATTACAAGAAACTCTGAATGGGTCGAATGTAAATACCTCCCAAAAATTTCAGAGTTCAATGAAGAATAAATAATTGTTTTGGTGGCTAGAGACTTGTGGGAGATTACACCACACCCTGCCATTCTCATTAAAGTGCAAGTGATTATCTGGGATTTATTCAGAAATGATTGTTTCACCTGATGTCTCCCAAAGTCCACCATGAAATCACCAAACAGTCCCTTGGGAGGGGGCTCTGATTGATCAATTTCAGTTCTTAATTGTGCCTTAGAGCAGTTTTCAATTGAGTGTCAAAAAACGAAATAAGAGTAATGACAACAACCAATCAGAACAAAGGTAAACATTATCATTAACCAATGAGAATGGCAACCTGCTTGAAGCGCCGGAAAATGCAAGTGATCAAGGTGAGATTGGTTTTAGTTCTGCATTTGATTGGTTGAGATGGTGGTGCTAGTTTTGTGGATCAATCACGGAACAAAGTAAACCAAAACCAAAGCAATCCAGAATCACTTTTGATACTGAACTGAAAACTGCTCTATGTTTGGGGTTTAATCTTTAGCATTTAGACATTAACATATAGTTACTCAGCCTTCTTCAAAGAAGTGACTCTTGGCAGGGCAGATACAGTAGTTAACTTTGTTGGTCCATGTTTGTTATTCATGGGTGTTGTGAGGTATTGGTAAAGATGTAAAGGTCGAATTCTGTAGAAATAAATTTAATATGATGATATCTTATGTGGTTAATTAAACTGTCTGTTCAAAATGCGTTTTTTGAGGGATACCAAGTGTTCTGGATGCTAAAATTGTCTATTATAAAAGCGAATGAGTTATTCTTCATGAAGGCATCAGACTTGTCTAGACTATCCAGTCTTTTCATTCTGTCTGCAAGTTTTCTGTTTGGTGGTTTTTTTTTTCCATGGCAGGTTTTTCAGCTAACAAGTAAATTGACGTTATGCAAAAACTGAGTTCCAATGCGGTGGTGTAATAAACGGCGAGAATAGCCAATCAGAATTCTAGTCCTTGTTGAAGAATGTAAAATGGTTTCCGTGTTTACATAGCCTGATGTAAACACGCGGGAGGTTGGGAGAACACGAGATAAGCATAGGAAACCACAACGCGAAGCGGAGTGGTTTCCAGCTTATCGAGTGTTCTCCCAACCTCCCAAGTGAATGAAAGAGGAACGAAAACCGTGTTTACATACGCTCATGTAAAATGGTTCTATGGCCAATCAGAGCGCGCGTACTGTTTGAATTATTTTAGAAATAGAGATGTTAACCCTGGAAAAGAGACAGATAAAATTTTCCATTGTATTAACTTAAAAAATGCACAGTAGATGTGTCTTTAAGCTGCTACAACGTTCTGACGAGAAGCCTTGTCCATCATGACGAACGACGCCATTCCACGGTAAAGTGAAAACCGATGACTTCACGCCTCGATGCAAAGTGGCATGAACTTCTCCTCTAGCTAAATTCACCACCAAAACAAGGAGTGTGACACCTTCAAGAAATGACAGTACTGCTGACAACCGCCTTTGTGTGGCTTCTGATGCGGTCCAAATGAGCTATACCATATATGGGCTATCAAAAGCAGCTCTTCCAGCGTACACTCCACCATCCCCCTGAGTGGCTGCTTTTGTTCTGATCAGGTACCCTCCTTCTTTGTTGACAAGTACTTCATCTCCTCGGCTATGATAAAATTACATTCCAACATCTTCAGTAGGAGTGAGAAAGCAAGGAAAGCCGGCAAAATTCGTAGATAAAGTTTATAATGTTTTGGTAAAAATAAGTTGAGAGCTACATGACTATTCATAATATTCTGTTTGAGTTCAAACATTGCGAATGAAAAATTCAATGAATTTAAGCTCTTTGGGTCAGTAACTTCTACGTGATCGGAATGCTTCTAAGTATTGTGAACGATCAGGTCAAAAATCTTAATTAAACCAAGTACCAACAAAGGAAAAAGGCGGGTTTCTCAACCAATTCAGGATCTTTACACGCTATAATTTTATTAGGTTAAGACTTGTGACTTTTAGACGCGCCAGGAATTGCGCTTAAACTTAGAGATGTGGAGCACTTCTGTTGTAACACCAAAACTTGAGGAATCACAGCGCCAGCGGTAATCAAAACAAGGGGACACACCGCACGGTGAGACTTTTTCCTTACATCGTTGGTTACCAGTTCCCCCTCATGACACTGGTTCTATGGGGACTGTGCTTTTCCCACTGAGGGTGATACCTACTATTCAGTCCTACCTGAGAAAAATGCCGACAATTCCAAGTTCCGGAATGACATCAACAGTATGCACGTTTGTGTATTCTTCACGGACTATTACGTTTCGGTTCATTTCCGGCTGAATCAGATCCATCACTATATACTGCGTCCTGTTTTTAGAATCGTTGAGTAGCGTGTGACGTATATCTTCACCGTAGATGTTATTTCCTGTACATAGCGAGTAAAGGACCAGTTCTAATGTATCGCCTGGGGGAGGGGGGAGGGGGATTTTGGGGAGGATTCACCCAGTTTTTGGGTGGGAACGGTGGGAAGTCAGTCGTCGTTAGTAGATTATCAAAAAGGAGGCTATGTAGAAAATTGACTGCCAATTAACCGCAAATGAGGTGGAATCTTGAGAATATTACAGAGCCTTATGAGAGGATCAGGTAAATTTTGTTGTAACACAACCAAAATCGTCCGATCCACCCCCCTACCAGGTGATGAAAAATGATCGGTTCCAAAGCTTCTATGTTCCCTATTTTCATTTTCTTTGTAGTGTATCAAAAAGTTCATTCAAGAAGTAGGCGAAAAGAAAGGTTCATGAAAAATTTTCTTTCTTTTCAGAAAAATCGTCGTAAAGATCTCTTAACGTACGTTGGAGTTCTGAGTTCTGTGACGGCTAGGCAGCATGGAAATTACTTGTGCATCCAGGGAGCAAATTTGAACAAAACGGGATGACCAGAATTTATGTCGGAAACTAATTTCATAGCAGAACAACGACAAGGGAGAATCAAGCATAATCAAATTAACCTATACTTGACGAAGACATGTTGCAGAACTCTGGGAAATCTTCAGTAGTTCTAACACTTTCCTTCTTCTTTCTCTCCTCTCTTTTTTTTCCTTCCGCACACAAGTTGAATATTTTGCGGCGTAATATGTGGGAACGTTCCTTTGTCACAACACGGTCCATTAGATCTTGACCTCCCCTACCACCACCCCTTTCTCGTCGCGCCTGTGGGCTCTTTTACCAATTTTCTGACACCAGAAAGATCGCAAGTTGCAACAAAAGGATCGTAAGCTGCTACAAAATATAAATTCCTTGACATCTACTTGTCCTGGGATAATTCTTAGCTTATTTGGGCTGTTGTGTAGAAAAATAAATTCTGTGTTTTCTGAATAAAAGTTTGGACCCCCCTTGTCAAAAAATGCTGGATCCGCCGTTGCAGGGACAAACTATGGAACCGCACGAATTAGATCCAGCAGAATTTTTATGTTACATTATAGTTGTAGTTCTCTTTACACGATACAAGAGTTTTCAATGTCCATACCTCCTCCTTCTCGTTGAGGCTTAAGAACACATCTGTCCGTCCTCTGAAGACAATATTCCATATTATGATCCCCTACAGGTCCCTGGAATGACAAAGGGGATTAAGCTTAGACACTCAAGAAGTTACATGACAGGCTCATTTAGACTTGCAAAGCTTCTTGCGTGGTTTACATGGTGAAGTGGGTTTATTAGAGTGTCGAAGATAGTCCAGGATGACTTGAGTTTCACTTAACTTTATTCTGTGATTGGTCCAAAAAACTCGCGCCATCCTCTCGACCAATCAGCTACAGAACTTAAAACAATCGTGACTTGATGATACGCGTTTTCCCGCGCTTAACTGCTTAACACAATTTGCTTGTTTTCACTTTGAGTTCTCATTGGCAAATAACAATAAAAGCTTTTTCATGATTGGTCGCTGAGGTTACTTTAGGTTTTTCGACCCTCAGTTGAAAGTTGCTCCTGTAGCCAAACATGGCCAGGCGCTTAAAAGACGCTAAAAAAATTTCAATTACCGGGTCAAGAGAATAGAGGCCAGTAAACGTTTTTCTTACTCTGTCCACGGATTCCTTGTCAGGTAAAAACCTGGAAAATGAAACATTGTCTTGTTTAAGGGACAGGACAGTTACTGCCTTGCTGCGTATCAATATTTCAACTGATCTTAAAATGGCTTCATTCCGTCTTAGGTCTTGACAAGGTGCATGTTAGAGAATATATTCTAAATTAACTGAAACATTTTGTAAAATACAGATCAAATTTTGGTCTACCTACACTGTGACATATTTTACTTAACAACCATTCGAGAAATCCTTATCACTTTATTTGCTTTTAGTCTGAAAAGGAACCCTTCCCTAGCGGAACATTCCTGTAAAACCCTAACCAATAGGGTAAAGTTTGCTGTCATAAAAAAGAAATGCTTAGCAACCTTTAGAATATAACTATTTTGGGTACCTTTCTAACACCCCAGGGTTAGACATCACTTGCTGCATTTTCTTTGTTCCCATTAACTGATGAGCCACAGTCGGACATTTGATGCAGCGAGACAACTCTATGGTCAGACGAGCTGACCATTCCTATCATTGAAAGAAAAACCAAATCGTTAGTTTAACATTTGTGAAATACAGCACTAAAGAGATGGTTCTACTCTGCCGGTGAGTATGTTGGCCAGGATGAAACGCCGCGTCACCAGTCACAAACTATTTTTTAACACGTACACGACAATTGTTTAATGTTTAAATGTAAGCTCTCTCCGCGTCTTAGCCACATCAACTTCTAAATTCGTTCTAACCTTTAACAAAACTGAACCTATCCACGCAACTGGGATCAAGAAATTTGATCAAAAATATCAGTTTTGTCCTGTAAAGAAATGTAATGAACAGAGAATTTATTACGATGAACTCACGTTTTCTGTGGGATAGTCTTTGGGCGTGTATCCTGCTCTGAAGTAAGCTACGGCGATTTCAATTCCATTCCTGTCAGGTGTGAAGAGCACAAACGTATAATTTTAACAAAACAACCCAAGAAGACAATCATAATTATGGTGAAATGGAAAAAGGTG